GGTTCGTTAGAGCGGGACGGGCGCGTGCGGCTCGATCGCCCGCGCTCGCCCCGTGTACAATCGCATGGTATTCCTAGAATACGTCTGCGACCGTACGCCCTGACTGGCAAATTTGCTGGCGTTGCGGACGAACCGGGGTCTGGCCGCGTGTCGTGTATACGGCTCGCGGCGGGTGCAACGGTTCGTCGGACGTCGTGGTTTCGACGCTAGCGGATCTGAGAAGTCCGGTAGTGGCGAAGATTCGAGGCCTTCTCGCGGCGCTAGGTGTAAACGGCGTCGCGTACTTACGCGGCGGCGGCCAACATCGAATCATCTTAAAAATCGGCTTTCTCTAAAGCCAGGCGTCTGGAGCCGTGCTCTGGACGATAAACGAAAATGGTAGCTGTATGATATACACCCGGCAGCGCTCGGAGACCTCGAGGAGACGAGGTCGCCGGGGCGCTTCCTTTCTGCTCGCACGTCGGAGCGTTCCGAGTCGTCGGGGAGTCGTCCGTGACGCGTGTTTCGAACATGCGCTGCGGCCGAGTCCCCGCGAGTCGGGGCGTGCCTTCGGGCCAGCAGTCGTCGGCGAACTCACGCTATGCGTCCGAAACCGTGTTTCGGACGGTAAACACCCTTAATTTGGTAGCTGCATGAACCATAAATACTCGGGAACGCCTCTGGGATTCGATGGAGTTCGGTCGCAGAGCGTTTCCTTTCCGCCCGCACGTCGACCCGCCCCGAGTCGTCGGGGAGCCGTCCGTGACGCGTGTTTCGAACATGCGCTGCGGCCGGGTCCCCGCGGGTCGCGGCGTGCCTTCGTGCCGGCGGTTGTCGGCCGTCACAAGCCATGCGTCCAGGGCCGTGCCACCCGACGATAAAATGATTGTTGTAGTTGCATGAACTCTTTCTTTCGGAAAGTCTGAGGGGGTTTGCCCTCTCAGATGATTCTGTTGCCTCAGGGCGAAATTACCCCCCGCTCCGGGTGCTACGATCGGGGTCGGCTCTGCCGGCTCCGGGCGCGGCATTTTTCGGCAATGGTGTCACGACACGTCTGCCACCGGAATGAGCTGGGCTTTTCTAAGCATTTAGGCGGGCTGGTTTTACGCCAGTCCGCCGAATTTGCCGCCTCCGGGCGGTTCGTTATCGCTTACCGTCTCGGCCGCTAGGATTGCAAGTCTGGCGTCTGATACGGGGCGATTAGCGTGTCACACGCTCCACATCCGCGGTGTGGGTCGTGTGACTTGCGACCTTAAATACGCGGTAATTTTGCCACTACGGGGACTTGGAAACCTCTCGTAGTGCCACCTTTCGAGACTCGTCTAACGAGCAATTCGGAATTGCAAGTGTCGGCACTGTTGCCAGGCGTCACACCTGTTCGGGAGACGATAATTTGAAACAATTTATGCTTGTCGATGTACGGTGGGCTCGCGGGTTATGCTCGCGGGCCCGCCGTTCAGGTCGAATCGAACGCAAAACGAAAAACTACCTTTAGTCGCGGCGATCCTCGTGATCGTTCCGACCTGAGGCAGCTCTGTCTGCAGACGTGCAGCAGAGCTGGTTCGTCATTGAGTCGCCGTCTCGGTACGGCGTCCTCTGATGTGTTTTCTGATGCCTGGCCAGGCGAAAGAACCCGGCACGCTGACCCGAACGGGTTTGCGTGTCGGGTTTTTCTCCCAACACAGGATCTGTCCCACTACGCACCGACTCCGGATCGTCGGAGGGCACGTTGGTTCCGCCGACCGTCACGGCCGGGCGCCCGCCAGCGGACCACCCGCGCTACCGTCTTCTGCCATGTGGGTGGAACGATGGTGGCGCGGGCGCTCCGTTTGTCGGGGGCCGGGCGCGGTGCCGGTCTGTCGGGATGAGGGTGCACTCTACGGGTCCGGGGACTGCGACTTCCCACAAACGGGTGCATCGGCTGAGCAGCCGGATCGCCGGAGGGCACGTTGGTTCCGCCGATCGTCACGGCCGGGCGCCCGCCAGCGGACCGCCCGCGCTGCCGTCTTCTGCCACGTGGGTGGAACGATGGTGGAGCGAGTGCTTCGTTTGTCGGGGGCCGGGCGCGGTGCCGGTCGGTCGGAATGAGGGTGCACTCTACGGATCCGGGGACCGCATGGGCTTGCATCGGTCATCGGCGATGCGCTTCGCCTACGGGTAAAAAGCCTTCTCGAAAAATCAGCGGGGAAAGAAAACCCGTTGAACTTGGAGGCGAGACCAGCCCGGGAACGGCATCAGCCCGCATCGGACCTCGATGATGCGCTTCCGTCGACGGACGGGGGTACCGTCGGGGCCGATACGCGGGCGAGCGTTCCTCGGGAAAGGCCTCCAGGAAAAATCAGCGGGGAAAGAAGGAAACACCATAGTGTGAAACTCCAGATTATCTAAATATAAGGAGGGCACTCGAGACAACCGCGGACCGCGCCGATTCGCTTCTTTCTCCGGGGATGCGTTGGTCTACGGACGAATGCATCACCGCGGCGGGTGAGCGGACGGTCGGTCCCCGGCCGAGGCCCTCTTGGAGAATCAGCGGGGAAAGCAGACCCGTTGACCGCGGACGCTCTCGCCGCGGCCCGAAGCCGCCGGTTTGCCTCGGTTCCCCGGCGGTGCGTTTCGTCTACGGACGAGGGCATCGCCGCGGCCGGCACGCGGACTGGTGGTGCCGGGTCGAGGCCTTCTCGGAGAATCAACGGGGAAAGCAGACCCGTTGAACGCGAAGGCTCTCTGCTAGCCCGGGAACCGCGTCTGCGCGCATCAGTCCCCGGCGAGACGCTTCGTCCACGGACGTACGTATCGCCGCGGCTGGGACGCGGGCGGGCGTTCCCGGGCAGAGGCCTTCGGGAAAAATCAGTGGGGAAAGAAAACCCGTTGAACGCGGAGGCACTCGTCACATTCCGGAGCCGTCTGTTTGCCCGGTTCCCCCGGTGTTGCGTTCGTCTACGGACGAGTGTATCACCGCGGCCGGTACGCGAACGGGCGGCCCCTGTCTGAGGGCCTCCGGGATAATCAGCGGGGTAAGAAAACCCGCTGAAATGGGTAATTTTGGGGCGCCCAGTCGACACCGGCTGGGCGCTCGTCTATTACCCAGTCGCATCACAACCAATCGCTCGGGGGCCGGGCGAACGCGCGGCCTTGCAGCCACCCCCAGGGGACGGCTAGCTTGTCGCGCACTCGCCCGGGGACCGGGGAATGGTAAACTCCTACAAATGTAGTGTAATCTCCTACAAAAGATAGTGTTAACTCCTACAAAAGATAGTGTTAACTCCTACAAAAGATAGTGTTAACTCCTACAAAAGATAGTGTTAACTCCTACAAAAAATTAATACCGCTCGTATTGCTGTAAAAAATAACAGTCTTGCAATATATTAACACATACCTAATATAAAAATGATTTGAAAAATATAGTTATAATAATATAATAAATTATAATAATAGTATAATACATATTTAAAATATAATAAAAGTGTTAATAAAATAATAGTCATAATCATTTAATCCAAAAACAAAATATGTTTAAATTCAATAAAACAATACTATTAGTTAATATAATTTTTTTTGAAAAATATAATAAAAATTTTAATAATACAATATTCATAATTATTTAATCCTACAACAAAAATTGTTTGAAAAATATAATAAGACAATAGTCAAAATCACATACGTTTAAAATAATAATTTTTGAAAAAAAATGATAAAAAATTCAATGAAACAATACGAAGTCATAATCATTTACGTATATTTTTATGGCATACTTTGGAGATAAACTCTAAACGTGAAATTTCTCCTCGTATATATTTATCTTTTTGATGAAGTATAAATTGATATTTAGAAATAGTTTTTGTCTGTCTGCGTTGTGTTGTATGACTGCTTCTAATTTTAATGTATGTTTCGGTCTGAATATCTTTCAAAACTTTCACGAATAAATGGAGGTTTGGATGATGATGATAAAAACTACTATTAAATCTTGAATGAAATGATTCACATGCATTTGTAGTATCATTCGAAGACCACAATTTTGGAGGAAATAATGAAAACGAAAAAATATAATTTTCAGATAAATAGTCGCAATATTGTTGGACTTTATCGTCAGATGGCATATTTTCTAACAAATCAAATACAAAGCAATCTTCAATATCCTTAGCGTCTTGCAATAATGGTAAACCGAATGTGAGAACTAAAAATTTTCCAATTTCAGATTCACCATTATTGTAATCATTCGTTAGGCCTAATTGCTGGATTTTTCTGTACCAATTTTGGCACAAATGAAAATTACAACCATGAATTTGCACTGTTGGCCAAATATTTCTAATTGCATTATGAATAGCAATTTCAAAGTCCACCACAACTGTAACTGGTTGAAACCGTAAATTATTTTCCAAGCAAATTTCGATAGTTTTTAAAAATAATGTACTGTATGTATGGCTATTTTTGTCAGGAAGCAAAGCAAAGACTAATGGTATATAATTTTGATTCTTAAAACCATGAATAGTGAATAACTGCAAAAAATATTTTGTACAATAATTGAAAGTACCGTCTAAAAAAATTTTTTCGTTTGAACAAAGAAATTTTAAATTTTCTATACAAGAAAATATAATAATATGGCTATCTTGATCATTTAATAAAACAAATTGTTCAGAACGGTTTGTTTGTATATCCATTACATTTAAAGTATCGTGAACTTCTTCAATACTTTTAGGCAAAGGTGGCAAAATAGATTTACGTGCATTATACACATTTCGTCTAATATAATTGAGATCAGTTGTATTTAAATTATTTTCGTTATTAAAATGTTTGATTTCAGTTAAAATAAACTTGGAAGGTTTTTCTACAATATTGTCTTCACTTACTTTCCTTTTCAGTGAATTATTGACTTCTTGGCGATTCAATGTAGTATCATTATCATGATTGTGAATTAGAACTACATGTTTTTCAATAACTTCATCCTCTGTATTATTTGTGTAAATTTTACTTTGACACTTATTATTAATACAACGCCAAGTTTTTTGGCCACTTTTTGCAGTATAATGTAAAAAAAATTTATATTTATCAACTATTAATAACTTTTTACCATTCTGACTATACATGAATTCCATTGCAATTTGTAATAATGTACGACTATAAGAGTGACTAACAAAACGGTGAAAGACGCAAAAGATTCACTAGACTAAACTCAAACAATACACAGTTGACAGTTATATAGTTACGAGCGGACTACGATATCGGCAATAAACGTAATAATTTGTTCGGAAATTTCCGATACGGACGAGATTATCATGTTTTATCGTTATTCGACAATATTCGATGCCATATCGCTGATCTATTTATAACATTTTGTACTGCAAGTGTCGATATGAACGTATAGTATAGTATATAATATGGACATAATCTAACCTTCGAGAATCATCATACAGCGTATAAACAAGCTCTATTCAAGCGTTTGTTTATTAAATAATATATATTTATTATTTTCAAGTTATGATAATTTTGAGCTTTTTGAGCTTTTCAACTTCAAAATTGTGAATTTAAGTAATATTACCCTATTTTTTAAAGGGAAAAATTTCTATGTAGGAGATTACAATATCTTTGATTTTCAGGTAAAAATTTTAAAAGGTTATTAGTGTAGGAGTTTACATTTAATGATGATTCAGGTAAAAAGGTTATTCTTGTAGGAGTTTACATTTGGCCCGGGGACCGCCGGGTGAGGCGAATGTGTTGGGCGGCGCAATGCGCTTCGGACTCCGCGAGGGTTCGCTCTCTTACAAACGCCTCTTATCTTCGTAAAAACCCCCATATTATTATGGGGGTTATGTCACGGGGAAAAGACGACCGTTGACACGACGGAGCTAGCGCGCGAATGGCAGAGTTCCAGAGGCCCTCGGGCTCCCCGTTACGACCGCTCTCGGCGTCGTCTCAGGCCGGTCGGATTGAATCCGGTTACCGGTGGCCCCGTACGTTGAATCTAATAATGAGACCTTCTGAGCGAGGGAACCCAAGTCGGACACGTCGGACCGCAAGCGCACGATTAAACGCATTATCCGAATCTAATGATTTGCCGGGGTTTCTCTGAGCTACCCGCACTTGTTGCCAACGGCAGTCGGTGCGGACGGGCTTGAAGGCGCTCCCGGGTAACCGTACCCTCGGTCCAGGCCCAAGGACGGGGGGACTCGGCACAGCACTGTAAAATAAGATCTGGCCCGCGCCGAGTGGACAGCCCAGTCCGCGCGGACCAGGAATATCCCGTCACCGTCCGGGATGGAACTGCCGCGGACGGAGTCCGGCCCGAGGGCCACCGGTCGAACACATGCGAAATCATAAAATCTCGACGAGACTGCTTCTGTGGAGTACGGATTTTCTGTAACCGCAACGCGCTGAGGGCATGATGCCGACCGGGAGACTGGTATCGAGCCGGGAGACTGGCTCGCGGCAGTGCCGCGCGATTGGGGTCCGACCGTCCCCCGTCTTGCCGAGAGTCTGCGGGTCTCATGTTCTCGTAAATATGAAGTTTATTCGTTAAAGCCCCCGGAAATTTTCGAGGCGGGGTCAGATGGCGGCGATTTCCGCCGACCAACCGACAGTTTCCCATCGGGCGGCCTAATACCAATATTTTGAACACCGAACCGCTTTCGAGCGGCAAACGGTGGGCGGCGGCCTCCGACTGCGGACGGCAGTGAGTGCCTTGAGCGCATATAACAAGGTCCTCCGTGGGGGGCAAAATTGTAAAATCGCCCTCAAACGAGGAACGAAGGAGCTCGAGTTCGAGGGCGGCCATGAAAATGAAGCCGATATCGTTCGAACGACTTTAGAACGGTACGGTAAGTTACTTGTAACCCGAGGCGAAAAGACCGAGTGGTCGCCCGAGAAAAGAGTTCTATTTGAAAGCATTAGTCCAAATTGGACCGCCGCAGTAACGTGCGGTGTCAGATACAATTTGTAAACCGATAAGCCTTAAATACCAATATTTATTGGTAACGAGGTCGGCGAAACACATCGGCGGCCTCGCGTACGGTTACATCTAGCAGCGAGATGGGACCCCGCGGAAAATGGCGGTCCGAATAGCGTCTAATCGTGGAAGCCAAAGGAAATGAATAAGCGAGGACGCCGTAAGACGGGCCGCTGGGCTCCCCGGGGCCATTGTTCGGCAAAAAGAGTCAAACCCGATGGTGAAGCCGGGTGGACTGGCGACCGTCTGCGAGGGGCAAAAAGTAACGGCTGTCACCGTTCCACCAGGCCTCCCCGCAGGCGCTCGCCGGCCGACCGGAAAACCGAGATGGGGATGGTGCGTAATTCTATGCACTCCATACCCCGATGCGGAAAGGCGGTACCGCAGAAGGGAAATCGCAATTATCGCGGCTAGGTACAAGCCGCGATTACCAGCCGAGTAACATATGCGCACTGCAAACTCTGATGTAAGAACCCAGAGTGTAATCAGCATATGCAAAAACCACACTGCGATTGGCCGGGTAGGACCGCCTGCGAAAGTCTTTATGAGGCCTTAAGTAGTCAAACCGCTGACCTGACAACGCAGCGGCATGGAATGTACCGGAAAATAAGCCCCTGACGGAGCATAACTCTGAAAGCTCCCAGTCTTTAGGACTGAGAATATCGGCTAAGCAATCCGGGGGAGGTAATTATGGGCTAAATAATTCTCGGCAAAGACACGGGACACTCGTTACATGTCCATACGTCAAGTCATGCACGAATATGCCCTTTACCCCCGAATTACACTGGCGCGAGGTAAGCGAACCTGGCGAAATACCAGAATTCCTAACCCCGAAATCAGAACGGGAGTAAGTGTGGGCGTCCGCATATGTCCGTACGCATGGACGCCCACACCCCGCCCGCCCGATGGTACGGCATCAGGCGGGCAAACAGGCCGGGTGCTCTGAGAACCCGGCCGGCGCACCCCGTTTGCAGGCGGGGTGAGGGGCGGGCGGAACGTAGACACATCCGCCCGCCGCTGGATCAACTTTTGATCCCGTTGCAACCTCGGCGCCTTCCGAAGGGCGTATCTGAGGGCCGTCCACCCGGTTAAAAGTGGACTCTGGGGACTGGTTGAACCCGGTTTTAATAGAGACTACTCATGAGCTTAAATCAAGATAAGGTACACACCCCGACAGACTGCGGTCTGGAAGGTGGGGACTCGGATTTCGGGGCCTCGCCGCTTGATGAGTTCATGAGAACTCGGACGGAGCTGAGCGGCCCGTCGACTGAATGTCATCCTGGGCGGAACGCTGCCCCCGCTTCGGCAGAGGACACCGTGTCGCCCCCGGTAACCGACGATGGCTTAGGCCGTCATACGTATTGGAAAAGGAAAAGACGAAGGAAAGCGGGGACCACTCGGACCCCGGACGAATTTGGTAGGAGAGAAGTTCGGACAGCAGAGTACGAAACTAGCCTCGGAGCACAAGCTCGTAATGAGACAAGCTCTCGCCAAGGAACGGCAGGGTCGGGCGGCAGCACGGCCGATACCGACTCCTGCAGACTTGAAATAACCGACGATGAGCCTCAGACGACAATTAAAGTAATACAAATCAATGCGAGAAGGTCACAGAGAGTGATGCATGAGATTGAAAAACTATTGTCGAGTAGAAGCATAGACGTCTGCCTAATACAAGAGCCAGCCGCCGACTGCAAAGGGATCTATCTGTTCGACAGACGTCCGTACAGGGTAGTAGCGAGCGGTCCCGGTTCTAAAGCCGCCATCGTAGTCGCGAACCCCGCGGTCGGCATCCTGAGCTTGCAGCATCTCAGTACTCCCCATATTGCCGTAGCCGTGCTCACTGTTGGAAATCTCCGCTTAGTGCTGATATCAGCGTACTTTCAATTTTCGGAACCAACACAGACGTGCGTTGACGCGCTCGAGTCCGTACTGGACTCGGTGAGCGGCAACGTATTAGTCTGCGCGGACGTGAACGCACGGTCTACGCTTTGGCACGACCGTCTCTCGGACGACCGCGGAGAGATTGTCGTGGACCTCATAGGTCGGAAAAACCTCCATGTCAACAACCTAGCGGGCAACGTGCCGACATTTAGAAATCGGGGGTCTGCGTGCTTGGACGTGACGCTCACGTCTCACGGCGTGAACGTGGCGGACTGGACCGCAGTCCACGATTTGACGTCAAGCGATCACGCGATCATAAGCTTCGACGTAACGCAGAACTGTGCGCGCCCGAATGACAGGACAGATCCTTTCGTAAAATACGACTGGAGCAAAACGAATTGGAATGAATTCCGTAAGTCCTTGCAGCTCAGAGTAAGCGCGTGTATAACGGATCTGGAAAGTCCGGATCTCGAGACTAGTTCTGCAGCACTCATGAAAGTGCTGACAGAAACCTGCGTTGAACGCATGGGAATAGTAAGAATTAAAAAGCGCAAACCACCTCCCTGGTGGAACCAGAGTCTGGATAGAGAATTAAGCAATCTCAGGCGCTGGAGGATTCGACTGAGGAACGCACGGAACGCATTCGGCAAGCGTGTAATCCGGAACTCTTACGAGAAATTAAAGCAAAGGTTCAATATGAATTGCTTCAAAGCCAGGCGGGATTCCTGGCGCTCCTTTGTAACCGATATCGGAAACAGGGAACCGTGGGGACCCGTTTACACATGGCTAAAGACCGGTGGCCTACGGCCGTCTCAGAATCTTCCAGTGTCAATCCGACGAGAGAACGGCTCTTTCACCGACTCTCTCGAGGAGACTGGGAAAAGACTTATTGAAATCCTGGTCCCGGGAGATACGTCCGACGGTGAGAGCCCCGAACAGACAGCCATCAGGGCGGTAACGGGTGTAAGAGTCGGGTCCTTCGACCCGGAGACGGGCGAGGACGAACCGCTCAACGCGTGCGATGTCGAGGAGGTAAAAAGGGCCATCTGGCGTATGGATCCGAAGAAGTCACCGGGAGCCGACGGTATAACGGCAAAGATTCTCCGCCAGGCGTGGCCAGTTCTGGCCGAACACATAACGAACGTGTTCAACGTTTGTCTTCGGTCCAGAATGTTTCCAAACGCCTGGAAACTGTCCCGACTGGTTGTGATTCTTAAATCTCCCGGCAAAGACCGGGCAGAGGCCAAGTCCTACCGACCGATAAGCCTACTCCCGGTGGTGTCCAAAGCGCTCGAACACGTAATCATAGACAGGATTCGAGCGGACACGGATCCGAGCATGTCAAAAAGACAGTTCGGGTTCACTAAAAACCTCTCGACGGTCGACGCGATGCACCACGCGCTGAATTGGACGAAAAGCAGGCAAGAAAAATACGTATTTGCAGTCTTCTTGGACATTTCGGGCGCCTTTGACTGTCTATGGTGGGCCCAGCTAGTTGCGGATATGCGTAGTGCTGGCTGTCGCAGCGGGCTGGTTGAGCTGACGAAAAGCTATCTAGACGGCCGCCGAGCTGTCATGCAGATCGGCGACCGAACAGTGGCAAAGACCCTCACCAAAGGGTGCCCGCAGGGGTCGGAGTATGGACCGGATCTCTGGAAACTAGCGGTGAACCCACTCCTGTCAGCTGACCCGCCCGCAGGTACGGAGATAATTGCGTATGCGGACGATCTCGCGCTACTTATCTCTGGCAAAAATCGGGCAGAGCTGGAGAGTCGTGGAAACGAACTACTCAGCAGAGCATCGCTATGGGCGATCAAGCGAAAACTCTCCTTCTCCGCGACCAAGTCGCAGACCCTCTGGCTTAAGGGTAATCTATCCCGGCCAGACTTGGATCTCCGACTCGGCACTGTAATGATAAAACCGACGGTCGGGGCTAAATACCTCGGCGTCACGTTCGGCGGTAAAAACTTCAGTGGCCATCTAACGGAAAAAGCGAAGGCCTCAGCGGCGCTATTCAGTCGACTGTGCGGCGTCGCAAAAACCAAGTGGGGTCTTAAGAGAGGTTTAGCGGCAAACCTGTATAAGTCCGTATTCCTTCCGCAGATAAGCTATGCGGCCTCTGTGTGGGCTCAGAAGTGCATGACTGATGGGCACCACCGAGGGAGAGCAAACAGCGCCCAAAGAACCCCGCTTAGGGCTATTACAGGCGCGTATAAGACCACGTCGACGATGGCGCTGCAGGTTCTCGCCGGAGTACCCCCTCTCGAACTGGAACTATTACGAATAGCCAGAGTCGAGGGGGACAGGATCGCGGTCAGGAGAGGCGCGATGACGGCGCAGGAAGCCGAGGTTAGAAAGACGATGCACAGTAACAATCTCCTTCACCTCTGGCAGAGCAAGTGGGTCGCGAGCTCCAAGGGGAGGTGGACCGCGCGATGGTTCCCCGATGTCGGACGCCGGATGGACCGTGGGTGGTGCCGAATGGATCATTACACGTCCCAGTTGATGTCCGGTCACGGGGATTTCAAAGCAAAACTCCACGGCTTTAACCTTGTTGGCGATGCAGCTTGCGCATGCGGTTTCCCCAGCGGAACTGCGGAGCATCTGCTAATGAATTGCCCACTTGTAGACCAGGAAAGAAATAAACTCAAACTCGCAGTGCGAGCGGCCGGTGCGGACTGGCCGTGTGAGTTAGAGTTCATGACGAGCTCCGAAGTCATGTTCCGGGCGGTTAGTGAATTCGCTAAGAATACACTGGCGCGCTGATGCAGGGTTAGCTCGGTAGTCGTAATTGGTGATATAAGTAAAATTCCAATTCGGGGCCCTGTACCACGTACAGCGGCCGAGGGAAAGAGGGATAACCCTTCTAGTCCGCACGAGATACATAAACCCGAGTGAGAATTAATGGGGACGCAACGAGAATAAAAGGTAGTAATCCATTAACCTTGCGACATACCGATGAATACGTTAAAAATGGGAATGAAACGGAAGGATTGGGCAAAAGCAACCGCGGGCGGGTACCTCATACACGACCCGTCCGCGGACCTCCGATCACACGCCGGTTCATTCCCACTGAAAACTCGATCGAGAGCCCGCATCCAGGAGATGCGAGCGAACTGGTGCTAGTAGTGGGCAGAAACCAGCCGTCTACTATCAGTCACCGAAAATCCGGGCGAAACTACCCGGTGCGGGAACGGTCACCCGCGCAGTAAACCGTACCGCACAGAAAGGCGGATCGCGGCGGAAAATCCTGCGGATTCCCGCCTCGATATCGTGCTTGCGGGAAATAGGTCGTTGTGAGTACCTGGGATACGGAGCCCGAAATCTCATTCCGCGGGTACCGGAGAGAGCCCTGCTCGTAAAAACAGCACTCCGGTAGCTAGGACACCGTCCGTGGCTTATGTGGATGGAACCGCGGAGGTTGTGGAAGTAGCGCTTTAGTAGAAGGGGGTTTGCTCGAGTAGATTAAAAACCTGCCGCCGCTGGCGCATTCGGCGATACCCATAATATGCCTTGAAGTAGGCGTGCTCTGGGCCGTCTGCCTGGCGCTCGGGCGCCCAGACGCACCCCTCAGCGAGGGATGACGATTGCGCCGTTAAGGCGCGGACGAGTCGGGCGCGGTAAAGATGGCTAAAGGTTTGAGAGACCGTCGTGTACTGGCGTCGCTTTCCCCCGTCACACAGCCGGTTAATCAATACTCAATTAAATATAATATGATGTAGTGTGCTACTACATACTACGTCACCGTGAATTGATATAATTGATTTTGTCACTGGGTCAATTGCTGTGAATAGTAACTCTCAGATGAGACGGAAACACATATTATTTACTTTTTTTCTGTCAAACTTTTTCAAGTATCATTCAATATTACAGTGACCTGGTAGGACTGCTAATTTATTTATTTTAGTGGAGTAATGTCACTGTACAAATTTCTGTTAACTATTTTTAATACATATTATAGGTATTTTTATGTCAAAACTTTTAAACAATATTTAATAGTTGTGTAAATTATATTCTATTATTAGTCAATATTCATACAATTGTTTTACTCATTGTAGTCTACTGTTCTAAAATCTTTTAGTGACGTCGTACTGATTGCGTATTTCTTTATTTGTTACACAGTTTAGACATCCTACCTCAGGTCATTAATTTCACCGACATCCTTAGAACCCTTATAACTATTATTTTATTTGATCCACACACCACACATATAATTTATGGTGTTGTAATAGTATGAACTATATGTATTGGTAACAAATATAAATTTAAAAAAACCATTCAGACCGTAAGCGCAGTACCTACACACATAGTCATTTAAAAATATAGTTGGAAAGGAAATGGAAAATAAAATAAAATTGTAAATAAAATAGTCATGTTTTGAAGTCATCAATTTATTGAACATCTGAAAAAAACATAAAGGACAAACGTAGAAAATTGTTTGTTGAGAAAAAATGTTCCTGTTAAAAACTTACTTCTCGCTCACTTCGCTTCTACTCTCGGTACCTGAAAATAATATGTTTGATTAGAATTATTAATTTCAAAAACTAAAGTATTTATATATATCCTTACATCGTTTTGCCGAGGCATCTTGGGAGGCACTTATTTCCTGAAAATGAAGTGTTCAATTAGAATTATCAATATCAAACACCTAAATAAATGTATATAAATATATGCTTACGGCGTTTGGCGGTGGCGAACCGCACTCCTCGAAGTAGAGCTCCTGAAAATAATTTGTTTAATTAGATTTATCATTTTCGAAAACTTGAATATTTTTTTAAATTTTTCACTAATATAATATACTTACAACGCTGGACGGTGGCGAAGCAGGGCTCGGGGACCGTCGACGAGGGACCACCTGAAAATTATTCGTTTAATTAGATTTACATAGAAATGTAATTGGATTTATTTTTAAAAATATTAATAAATCCTTACGTTCGACGTCGCTCGTGATGCTGGGGAGCGGGATCTGGAGAGGGGCCTTCGATCGTCATCGCATCTGCCTCCTCCCAGCCGCCTTCCCCCATCACGACGATCGTCGCGCTGTCGCTGCCGACGGACCTCCTGAAAATTATTCTTTAGTTAGACTTACATAGAAATGTAATTGGATTTTTTTTTAAAAATATTAATGAATCCTTACGTTTGATGATGGCCGTGATGCTTGTGAGCGGGATCTGGAGAGGGGCGTTGGATGGTCATCTCCTCTGCCACCTCTCCGCCGCCTAACACCATCATGACCACTGCCGCCGCCGCCGCCGCCACCTCCCCTGCCGCTGCCAACACCACCTCCTCGACGCCTTCTGCCGCCGCCCCCACTACCACCTACACCCCTGGGCTTGGCTACAATATAAATTACAATTGTATACAATATAATAATAAGACTGTTATTAAGGAATATGTAAAGTAAACACTCACCGCAATCCCGGGAGAGGTGACCCTCTCTTCCGCAATTGTAACATTCTGAAACGGGTAGATATTATTTTAATCGTTTCTAATTTTATACAATATATATATTAACCAAATGTATGCTTACGTCGGGCGCGGTTTCCTTTTGGGCTCTGGGCGCTTTGGCCCATGTAGAACTGGCAGTGGCTCAAGTTCTTGTACATATTTTTACTCATTCTAAAGTTAATAAATAAAAGTAAATTAAGTAAGTTGAAAAAGACAATTGATTGGTCTGCATTATTAGGTTGGTGATATTATAAAATATTAAATTCGTTAAACCAAAAGCATGTGGTGCACACTCAAACTAAGCCACGGTTTTCTTCGCAAATGTACCTATATGGTATAACAATATTATTTGATTAATGCGATCGGAGGTGAACGTGTTAAAAACAAAAACAAAAATTGAAAAAATATTTAATTTGTTTCACAGAAACCATGTGTTGCAGACAAAACTAAGGCACGATTTTCGTCGCAAATTTATATATTATTATAATAAGCTATTAATAATTCATAAATACGATCCGCGTTGGACGTGTTAAAAAACAATCCAGTGTATCTTATTATACTCATTATAAAGAAATAAAGAAAGTGTATAGTAAAACTTTTATATTATTATGATAATTTATTAATTGATAGGTACGATCCGCGTTGAACGTGTTAAAAAAACAAGGCCCTCGTGTACCTACGCTTGGCAATTGCCGCTAATGTTTTATACGTTGTTACTCATTCTGAAGTTGACAAATAAAAAGCAATAAAGAAAAAATAGAAAAGACAAAACATTCAGCGGATGTCAGCTCGATATATTATTTGTTTTTTTCTCTCAGACCTGTGCGTACACATAGTATAAGCGTCTAACTAGGTACTTTGCCGGAATAAGCGTGGGCAGGTGCTTACAAAAAAGTAAGCCCTCTAAGTTTAAATATTCATTCATAAATACGATCCGCGTTGGATGTGTCGAAAACAAGCTAATGTTATTGTACTTATTTTAAAGTTAATAAATGAAAATAAATAAAAAAAATGGATGGTAAAACAAAGCAATAAATTCCTTTGATAAAAATCACGTGTTGCGCACAATACTAGCCTATTATTATACGATCCGCGTTAAACGTGTTAAAAAAACAAGCCCCTGATGTACACTTGCGCCAACTGCCTCTAATGTTCTATGCATTGTTAATCATTCTAAAGTTGATGAATAAAAAGCAATAAAGAAAGTGTATAGGAAAACGAAACTTTAAGTGATCTGTCGGTATTATTAAATATTAAATTAAAAATAAAATAAAATATTAAATTCGTTAATCGGAAAGCATGTGTTACATTATATTAATTGATAAGTTACCTACGATCTGCGGTGTAAAAAAGGTTTTTAAAAAGACACCAATTAAATTAATAATACAATGTATACTCACGTGCAGTGGCGTATTTTGAAATTTTTTCTGGGGGGGGTCTAAATATTAGGTACCTACAAGTTTATAATAAAAAAAAAACACATACGAGTTACGATGTAATAATTATATTATATTATATTTTTTTCTGGGGGGGGTCCAGACCCGGGGACCCCCCCCCCCCCCGTAAATACGCCACTGCTCACGTGTTACTGTTTCAGAAAGTTGCAATGAAATGATTTTAAAGTCGGACGTCAGCGCAGTGCTTGGTCTTAGAACGGCGACAATCACAAGAGTCAAGGCAGGTAACCCATGCGGGGAACGATATCGCACGGCCGATTAATTAATTTTTTTATTTATTAATTTTTTTTCACGTTTTTTTTTTTCGCCGTTTCGCCATCACTTCCGTCTTATCGTATTTAACGAAAATGTTCCGATTTTTTTCAAAATTCGAGTTTCACCGCCTCTACAGACTTCGGACTTCCCCATCGAAGACTTATTCGCGTTCCCCGTCAAAGCAGTCCTTGATACTATTTATTACTATACACGGGCGTGAATAAATGCGTCGAAGAGTTCGATTTCTTTTCTTTGCCGTTTTTTTCAAAAATTTTTCCGCAAAAATTACAAAATTTTTAATCGGTGACTGCAATGGACGCTGTCCCGGCCGCACATTGCCTACCCGGATAACATAGATGACTGACCTGCTAGACACCAAAAAATCATACGGTGGCTATATGATTTGAATGGACAACTGAAATATTTTGAATTTTCTTCACGTAATTTATCCTTTAATTTTGCGTTTTCGGTAACAGTAATGAACGTCGTCCGCGATTCGACGCAGTCGGATTGCATACCTGATGACGTGACCCGGCCGTCGCACATTGTCCGCTATCCGTCCAAGTCGGATAGCCTACTCCTATTATTATAGCGAATGTCATTCGA